TTGAAGGACCTGAGCCTCCTCAAGAAGTAAAGTCGGCTCTGTCCGTTCTTATAGATGGCCTCGATGTTCTTAGACCATTCCAGTCTATCGTCGATGTGCACTCCCAGGTACTTGTACGAGTCCACCATCTCCACGCAACTCCCATGGATGTAGACAGGAGTAGGTTTGACCTTTTTCCTACTGAAATCTACCACCAGTTCCTTTGTCTTTGTAACATTCAGTTCCAATTGGTTCACCCCACACCACTCCACAAAGCTGCTGACCAGTCCTCTGTACTCCTCCTCCTGCTCACCCTTGATACATCCCACAATTGCAGAGTCATCTGAGAACTTTTGCAGGTGATCGGTATCGCCTGAGCTTCAGGTAGATCATTGTTAAATATACTGTAATTGTACTCCAGAAAGGTAGATTGTAAGTAGAAAAATGTTGCTTTCCAAAAATGTTATTGATAATGAAGCTGGGCTAGCCTTTGCACCTGTAAATATAGCTTGGATTTATTTTTCATAAACATCTTACTCCTGTCATTGTATGAAAGATAATTAATAATAGTAGACTTTAATTATACCTTAATCAGGTAGGCCTATCTCTAAACATATCACCCCATGCTATTTTCTTTTGAGCACCAGTTCATTTGAATAGCCTTTTAAAATTTGTCATGTTTTTGTCTTTCTAAAGGGCATACTATTGTTTTCCCGACTATGTTATGACTGAGGTTTTGTGGCTTTATAAAAAACAGGGCCTTTCTAACACATCTGTAATTATGTAAAAGGGCAAGTGGTATGTTCATGATTTTACTGGAATTAACAACGGATGGCCTCAGCCTTTTCTGTTCTTTGATTAGGACAAATTTTCTTTACTCAACCCGGCAAAAGAATTTGACGATGAACACTTTAAACATTTATTAATCTACATCGAGAATCAACATAGTGTTTTGTGAGTGACAAAAACAGTACATACTGTGTATACAGTATATGTATAGTACAGGGAGAATTGAATATTGACATTGTCTATGGCCATTTCAACTTCAGTTGCAATGTAGCCTAAGACAAGTTATAAAGTAGTGAAGGTCATTTCATTTATCTTGTTCATTTGGTTTCTAGCTTAATTGTCTGAGATTTCCATACATTTCTTAAAGGATCCTATGGAGTCATTTTCAACCAGATAACTAGGGAGTTGATTCCAGACTCCCACAATGCTCTCTGTAAAGAAGTGTCTCCTGTTGTCTATCTTGAATGGTCCTGGATCTAGTTTTCTCTTGTTTCCCCTTTGCTGCTGATCTTGAGTCCCCTTGATTGACTTGTTGAGTTCCTTGCAGGATTTTGAACACCTGAATGAAGTCCAGATATAATGGTGTGACCCAGGCTGAAAAGATTCACTTCCCTTAGTCTGTTCAAATATATTCCTTTCAGTGTTTTGGAGTAAACATGAGAACTAAGTTATTCATTTTTATGGACATACTAAAATGTTTGAAATCAGACATATTCCCACTAACATACATCATTCATGTTTATATTCCTCGAGAAAAGTCCCAAGAATATACAGTGTATTAGAGATGAGATTAGACTCTTAAATTACATGTATCTGTCCATCACCACTTCTATCTATCCACTAATCAAGTTATTACTAGAACAAAGTCTTTCATTTGACCAGGATCTAGCTGAATTAGTAATCTTTTGAAACTGTACAAGTAACATTTTCTGTGTTCATATTCCAATAACAGCTTTAAAGATGAAAGGATCAATCAATCTGAGAGCATTTCTCAGAGACTGAGATAAGTGGTTGTGTGAGGTGAAAATCATATTGTTAACCAAGGGATACACCCCCTTTTTATACAGTACATATGATTTACTAAGCTCCAATGTTATTCAAGAGGAGTGTATCACAATAAAGGATAATTCTATTCTGCTGTGTACTGTATATTTATGGTCACAGGAAGGTAAACAAAGCCCTGCATGCTAAGTAATGTGGCTAAAGCAGTACTCTAAAATTAACTACTCCTGTTTCAGCCCATCTGCTAAACATGCAAGTGTGTCAGTCAAACAAAAGCAAGAGTGACAGATTACTATTGGGAGTTACCCTAGTAAAACAAACAATAAACGTCTCCCAGTTCTGTTTTATGAAGGGGTTTCTAGGAGGATTTTGTAACATGTACCAGGGTCAAAAAGAGTTTATTTGTTTAGTTAAATGTCATCTGGCAGTTGTTTGCCCAGTTTTGTATATTGTAAGTTCTTCTGGAGCTGCAGCTTCTGCAGTGTTTGCTATTCCTTCTATTTTGTTAACATCTGTGATACCAAATTTTACTAATTTAATAACTAGACCAGAATCTTGATGTTAGATATAGATTACAAAGAGGAGTGGTCCTAATATAGATCTCTGTGGTACATCACTAAATTACATCACTTCAATCTGATTGTTCACCCCTTATCTGTACTGTTTCCTACGCATTAACTACTAGGTACATTCTAACTACTAAATACAAGCTACATTCTAGTACATTCCTGCCACCTGCCAAAATAGAATTAATCATTTAATAGGTAGCTTATCGAAAACCTTTCTGAAAACTTAATTTTATCATACTAGTGTATATGTTCTGTTTTTAAGACTAACCAATTAATTTAGCAAGACCTAATTTTTCTAAATATTGACTTTGTTTTGCAACCATATTGCTATACTGTCATTTGTGGATTATGGTCACTTATGGATTGGATGATCCTTTAATTTATTTATAATTATTGTTTTTACATCACTGCACAGAACTGAAGCAAGACTTATTGGTCTATAATTGGTTCAATTTTGTTGTTTATGGATTGGCACTATATCAGCAATCTTCTAGAGAATTATATTTCCCCTGTCGTTAAAGACAGTTAGAGAATTTATGTTTTGCAGCCTATGAATAACATTTCTCATTTCAGTAAGTACTCTTGGTAGAATACATCTGGTTCTTGGAGATTTCTTTAGCCATAAGTGCTTCTAGTACATACCGTTTAACACTTCTGCCTCTTCTATGATAATATTAATACAGAACTGTGGCTGACAAAACTGAAGACTTCTTCAGCATATATGTTCTCAGATGTGTGTTTTTATAATTAATAATGTTTTATGCAACTTCACGTAGTGAAGTCAGACTTATGTCTGTGCTCATGTTCTCTGAATTTTGTTTTGTATGGAAAGTGCGCTGTTTATGCCAAAGTTATTTGTCCTAATATGGACAGAACC